TAGGTGTGATCAGCTGAACAGCTGAAGTTCGTGCTCACAGTGATCTCACCTCAAAGGTCATTAAAAAAGTAATGCAAGAAGCTGTTCTTCCCTTTCCCTCACTACTATCTGCACTGTGTTTTTTAGAAGAAAGAATCACACAAAACAAAATGTAAACTCATATTTAGAAAGTTTGTATCTGAACCATCCATGAGGCCTTTCCTTTTTCCCAGTTCGAGTTCTGTTGGTCAGCTAATCTGTACCACATAAGATCACAAATCACATTTGTTTTTCAGTGCATGCTATTTTTCATGCTGTCTCAGGAGCCCTCACCCATGGTTGGCTCCTCTCATCCCATTTCATTCGTTGTATTGGCAGATGGCTTAAACCGTGGAGAAGTGCCTGGACTTTGAATGCATAATTATTTTTAATAAACATACTGTGCACCATATATCTTCTGTTTCATAATCCTCACCTAGCCCCCATGTCTTCCTTTCCCATCTCCTAGTTGGGCTGAATTCTCCACCAGCCCCAAAGTATCTGCCCCGAGCTCACATGCAGCTGCAACTACTTGTCTTCATGTCCGTGGCAGAGTGGGTGCACTCCTCATTCACAGATGTAAAACTGTGCCAAAAAGAGAAGGAATTCTTCATACAAATTTGAGGCATAACCAAAGTTACTTCTCAGCAAAGAAATCTTGGAGGGCTGTAAACAAAAGATCATCATATCCCAACCTTTCTGTAGCTATAATATTCTTCCCAGCTCCCCTTTTATAATACCCTGTAGTTTGTGACCACATTTGGCAAAAGCTTATTTTTCAGTCTGAAAGTGGAAGAATTTTGCTTATCTCTCACATTCATTATTATGTGATTAGACAGTAGCCACCACACTCTGTAATTCTGAAGTGAAATGAGGAATTTGTGAAGATTTACAGCTGAATGTCTAAATGAAGCTTGGAAATATATTTCTACAGAAATAAACTTGATTTTTGACTTAGTATTGAGTATGCATGGCTTCAGAATACTGAGGAAAATCACCATAGCAGGAAATTTCCATGCTGACAAGCTCAGATTGGTGCCACAGTTATGATCTAATTGGGGAAGGAAATGCCTTATGAGAAAGGCTTACAGGCTGGGGTCAGCAGCCCCACTGAAGCAGCATCAGGGGCATGCGGTGCTTGGGCAGGAACTCTCCGGGTGGCAGGCAGGTACTTCTGGAGCATGCTTTACCTTCTAGACTTGTTCTATATTGGAAAATGCTGTCACCTTCTGAAAGGTGCCATCCATTGCAACAAAACAAACCACCCATAACCCCCATCAGGGCTTGTAACACAGTGGACAAAAGACACAGGTGGGCAGCTTTTCACACATCAGGTTTTGGAGAAGTGGGAGAGAGAGACAAGAAGGAGCTGCCTCAGGCACACTTCCAGGTGGCGGGGTGCAGGCCTCGCTTCCAGCCATTTGGGGGCTGTGGAGAGGGAAGCCATGCCCACATCTCTGCCTCCTCACTGGCTCCTCCAATGCATTGCCTGGTCTGGGTGGGCTGGGGCAGGCCCTCAGGGAGTACTGCTGTGTGCTTTGGCAAGTCATGGCTGTGCCCTGTGGGGATGACAGGGGCCGTTTAGGGCAGCGCAGGATGCCAAGGCCTCACTGAAACGGTATGCAGACAGTCACACCATCTAACTTTAGCCACTGAGCTGAGGTGGCTGGGAGAGGAAGTTAGTCTCGCATGGCTTCCCCTGTGGTCCACGTCCTCCACAGGGAGATTCAGAGGCAGAGCCTAATTTAAGGAGTGGTGTTATGGAATGTGAAAACTCTCGCATTTTCTGCTGTCAGAGCTCATTAGGATTTTGCCTACAAGTATCCTCCAAGCAGCGGCATCTCAGCAGTGCAGGGTCCCCACGTCAAGACACAGCATGGGTGCCCCATGCTGCTGAGGCCACTGTGCTGCCTGGGCCACCCAAACCCCTCTCAGCTACATCAAAGAGCTCTTCCCGGAGCTCATTCACGAGTTGTCTTCAGAGTTTGCCCGGCTGAAAAGTGCGGTGGCATTAAACTGTATACACAGATATTTTTTTTTAAACAAACAAAGCCTCTGAGTCTGACAGGCAAGGGCAGGGATGGGATTAGGCAAACATCCTATACAGACGGTTCCTCTTTCTGTCTGTCAGCTTGTAAGTGCTTTCTCTTCTGGAACTATACAGTACTAACTGAGCCGGAAACAGCTATTTAAAAAGTGATTATAATGTGACATTTTTGTTTGACCTAACATCAAGCCATGTGCAGCTTAAATGTCAGCAAAGCTATTTACTATCGGGGCAGACAGGCCCTAGCATGCTTAAATCTACCCAGTGTCTTAAAACTGCTTGCTGTCTCCACTCAGTGCACATGAATGACACTGAAGCCAAGATGTAAAGTAGAGCACTCCGTAAGCTGTGATGATTGACTAATATGCTGGGTGGCACAATGCATTCAGCTGGAGGCTCACAGAGAGGAAGACAAAATAATGGATAATTAAAGTCAATCTCAGGTTAGAAAGCAGAGGCCCGTGCAAAAGGTTTCCTTGGATTAGCAAGAGAATGCCAAGAGCTGGTGCATTTCTTCCTGGGATATTTGAGGAGCTCAAATATTCGGACAAATATAGCAAGTGGATTTTTTTATTATTATTATTATTATTATTATTTTTATTAGTGCACATGATGCTTTAGTCACATGAGAGAGGAAGGACCACAGCCCCGAGCTGTTGCTGCAGATTGTGCCCTTAGCAGTCTCCTTCCAGGCTGCAGCCCCGCAGTAGGGCATGGTGGCCACAGGGCTGTAGACCCACAGGACTGGTGGAACACATATCAGGCCATCCAACTGTGGCTGCCATGTGGGGTCGCAGAAGGAAAGGGAGGATTTGGAGCTGCCTCACTCCCTACTCTGCAAAGTAATAGCCCGGCGGTAGGAGAGCGTGCGGCTGCGGCTAATTGCGTGCAGCTCTGTTTGTGAGAAGCACGAGGAATGAAGCAGTTTCAGGTCCTGCAAACATGCACGTGCACTTACAGCTATAATGCTGCATGCAAAGCTATATGGTATTGTGAGCTCTCCCTGGAAGACAATGAACTGGTTTACAGCGGATGAAGATAAGCGTGCTTATAGGTCCTTAGTGGGACTGGAGGCATATATTTGGACAGTGTTCCAGTCTGACCTCCTTCTCAGAGCCTAAAATAACAAACAAATCAGTGTGCCTTTATTTTGAAAAATGTTGCTCACAGTAATAAGGGTGGGTGGGGGAACTCAGCAGGAAGCGAAGCTGTGATAAAACTTCCATTTTGTACTTTCTTGTATGTCAGAAAAAAAAATACATTATAATTCAGGGTGCCTTTGAGGGTTTATTTTTCTTTACATTGTTACATGCCTGATCACATCTGATTTTGGAAGTTAAGCAGGGTCTGACTTGGCTGGCATTTGGGAGACTGCTGAAAATGCTGTAAACTTAGAGCTTAAACTAAACTCACTATATGAATGCACAGTACCCAACAGCATGACTCTGGGAGGGGGTACAAACAAGAATATTCACTGTTTTTCCATATTTTTAAATACTGCTTTGCTCCAGATTAAGCAACTGAGATAACAACCATGGCCAAAAATAATATCATGATTCTTAAATAAGCATTTTTTCAAATTTACAAAAAAAAAAAAAAAAGGAGAGAGAAAGAGAATGCTCATCCGTACTAGTTAATACTTTCTAAAGATCAGAGAAAAAACCTTTGAGCAATCTGATCATCAGGTCATTAGAGATAGGAAATAAATTCTTTAATTTCTGTCTGCTTACTAAGTGTTGACAGTAGCAAGGGACTGTAAAAATCCCTTCAAAACTCATTTAAGTTTAATAAGTGAAAACATTATAAGCTTTTTAACAGAAAAGAAATGAGAGGTAGCCAGAGTACTTTTTTTTTTAAACATGGATTTTCATGTTGTTCTTGGTGTTTTCAATGACAAAGGGCTTAATTATACCATATAAAGGCTCCTTTCTTCTTGCTTTACCTTAGAGAATTCCAGAAGATCAAGGCTGGTCTGTTATGATTTCGCTTGGAGGTTCCCAAGCAAAAGTTAAAACATTCACAAAACTTTTCTTCAATAAAAATGCTCAACAGTCATTCATATTAAAACAAATATAATTTTAGAAAATAACAAATAACGAAAACTCCCTTCCTTTCTTGCTTTCTTATCAAATGTCAACAGTGTGTCCCTCTCAGATCCTTAATGGGCCTTGTGGTCCAGGGTGAGCTTCATTTTTTTTTTCTCCTCCCCCCAAAAACAATTAAAAAGGTGGATTATAATGAATGTATTACAAAGTAAATAAACAAAAGAAATATCCTTGAGTATCTTTCTTCCATTCTGAAGCAAGAAATAAATATGATATGGCAAAGCAAGGCAAGCTTCACATGCTACAAGCCTCTCCCAGGTAGTGTCTGAGATGCACTTATTCAGTTTTGCATTTCTTCTTTGTTACACTGAAATGTGAGGGATTTCTAAATCCTGATTTGGATGCATCCCCTAGCAGCAGAGAAAAAATGACAATTACTGAAGCAAGGCAAGTTGTTTTCAGTTTAGCAGGTTTTTTCTAAGCCAGGCTTGTGGTTTCATTTAAAGTTTGAATGCTTCCATTCTCTGAGAAGCCCAGTGGCTTTTCAATAGCTGAAGATCAAATGATGTTAATCAGCCAGTGTGACCTAATCCTCTAATTCAGATGCCTTTTTACATTAGAAATGTTCTGCTCATGTAAGATCAGTTTGCTTTTAAACTGACTTTTTTTTTTTTCTGTTAAATGTGCTATTCTCAAAGTTCTGTTCCATGCTTCTCCGCATCTGTTACTTCTATGCAAATAAAGGAAGATTGTCTTTTCTTTATTTTGCAGGTTTAGGTAGGCCATTCCTAAGGGTTTTGACAGAAAATCAGAAAAGAAAAAAAAAAAAAAAAAAAAAAAGACTAAGATGTTATACAACAGCAACAAGGGGAATATTTTTATTTTTGTAGTGGTCCTACAGGTCGTCTACACTCCCAATAGCTGAATCCCATATGCAATGTCCCTCAGCTCTGTGCATCTGCAGGTAGCTGGCAGATTGCAGCCACACCGGACGTGCAGGACCACAGGAGGGAAAACAGCCTGCTGCATACCTGACGGTGGACACTGCCTCATGCAGGCATGAGCAAGGGTGCAGCTGGGTGACCTGCAAACACAGCCTGTCAGACTTGGCAGGTTTGCTGACATTAACACTGGGAGAGCTCCTGAGCTATCCGAGCACCAACAGACGGACCATCAGCACAGGTTGTGTCTACTGACCTCCACAGCAGTTTTCAGTAAGGAAAGCTGAATGAGCAGATCCTAACCTATTTGTTAGGCCACATGCATTTAACTGCATTAACCACTTCCCTTCATGCATGTGGAACGAAAACTCTACAATGCCTGAACATGGCCTTTACTCCTACAGGCAACACACGGACATCTGAGTTTCTGCACAAATCCAAAGGCCAGAACCTCCTGAAACATGCAGCTCTCTGGTCAAGTGCAGTCTTGAGTGTTAATGACTAGCACAATTGAATTCTTACCCCTTTTGCTTACCTCTGGGCTGGACTTAGTCAATATTTTCACATAATAACAAGCCAGTAGTCAACACCATCAGTGTTGAACTCCTTCCTATGAACCTTGCCTGCTTGAACTATAGAGCAAGTCACAGCTAAAATACATGGCAGAGAGGAAAGAGCCCCACGGCACACGCACAGGTAAGTTCAGCTGTTTGGTCTTGTCTGTAGCATTACTCAGGATTCTTGCTAGGATTTTTACTATCTACTTCTACATTGTTGCTAATATTACCTCATGTAAAGGAAGATATAATAAGGTTTGGAAAAAATAAAACATTTTACAGCATCTGGCAAATGTTTCTCAACAATTTTTCTCTTAAAGAGGACACCAGGGTTTATTGTTCCTGCGCAATAGTCTGTGATATGTAATCATCTTACATCTAGTGAACTGCACAACTTTTTTTTTTTTTTTTTAAACCTGCCAGAAGATGACAAATGAATCTAATCAATTAATTAATTTTTCTCAGAATATTTCATCAACATGGAGCTTGCAGAATCCAAACTGGCAGAACACACAAGAGGTTTCAAAATCCCAAGCGCTACTATCGGCATTACGTTAAGTGAAGCACAAGCTGATTAAGATACACCTTCAAAGTAGTTAAAATTTCTTTCTCCGGTCATCTGGCATTTGCAGAGATAATTTTCATATTACTGTGCCAAGTGTGTAAAACATCCCTTTTCCCCAGTGCTATTTCCTTAAAGAAATTAAAACATATTTTTATCCTGGCATTTGACAGCACAATGTGGTCGAAGTAAGGATTTGTGGGCAAAGTGCGCCATCTCCCGATACCAAATAATATTTACTCAGCAGCAAATAATTTAGCGTTTCTCCTTTGGATTGCCATCTGTTACAGTGAAAGATGGGGAAAGAAAGCCATCTGGTGGAAGATTAATACTTAAATCTTAACATCAATATCCTTAAACCTTATCTGAATACCCTGTACGGAGACTTGGCAAATCATTGCTAAATTTTCTTAATTAAATAATAATAATAATAATTAAAAAAAACTATTAAAATTGTAAGGAGCTGGGTATCCCAAACTTGTTCCTGTTTTCAGGCTACTTAGTCAAGAATAAAATTATGTCAGATTTTAATAGAGATAAAATCTGTACTATATTATGGTCCCCCAGCCCTACAGAAGTTGTATGTATTTAATACTACGCACAATACATATGATTAGTACTTGAAAATACTCATGAATTATAGCTCTAGTACTGTCCCAGGGTAGAAACCTGGGAGCAAGTACTGACAGGGTAGCAAAATACTGTAAATAAGCAGTTCTGTTTGCCTAAAAATTGTAAAGAGTTACAATGGTTGTATTAAGTACAAGTGTATCTCATGTATATTTTATCCACTTAAGCAGTATGTTCTAATGTATATATTTAAATAAATCTATTGCATGCTGTAAAAAGTAATTCAAGGCATTATTTTTAGCTGATGCCTAGGGAATTGTTCCCCATCAATATGTAAAATCATGCTGTTGCTGTGTTCAGCAAACGTTACATAGCAGCTTTCTGTTCTTCTGAACATGGCTGGAAACTTCAGGTCTCCAGAGCATTCACAGCTCCAAAGGCTTCAAATGGAGCAGAGTTCTTAAGTGCAATAGAAAATCAAACTGTGTATGTGGGCATGCTGAGTTTGGCAGCATTTTCTAAACCTATAGGACAGCTACAACTGGGGACTGCAGCATAGCCTCATTAATGTCACAGGAGAATTGGTTCCAGAAATGTATCTTAAGGACACTGGTGGCAAAGAAATTATCACACAAAACTGAAAAACATGCCTCCTCATGTGTATAGTACAAGACTGATCCATGTTAAAAAAGTGTTAAAGAAATTGCAAAAACAAGTGGGTTATAAGATTTAAAGAGCTGTATATACTTAACATAGTATATAGAAACCTTCAGAAAGAGTTAAAAGACAAAATATCTGCTATTAGTTAGACTTAAAAATAGCACTGTTGAACTAGACACAACATCTTATTTAAAATACAAATTAAATTACTCTGTGTTATTTTTGTATTTGTCTAAGTTCAGAAGGTATGCAACTACTGCTCAGAAACCAGAAAGAATTCATTTGTAGCCACAAAGACTGCAAGATAAAGAAAGTTGATGAAGCTCTGGTGGAAAGAGACCTGTGAAGGACAAAGAGGCAATCAAAAACAGCTGGTATGAATTTATGAAGGACAAATCATATTTGACCAACCTGACTGCATCCTATGATGAAGTAGCTGGCTACATGGAGAAGGAAAGAGCAAGTGGATATAACAGATCTTGACTTCAGTCAAGCTTTTGAAATCATTTCCAGCAGCATTTTCACTCACAAACTGAGGAAATATGGCATGAGCAAGCTGGCTGTTGGATGAATTGAAAACCTCCTGTACTGCTGGGCTCAGTGGGTAGCAATTGATAGCTTGATAACCTGCCTGGATGCCTACAGCAGGTTGAATACTCTAGGGGTTGATACTAGGGCTCACATAGTTCGTTATCTTCATCAGAAACCTGGACAGTGAGACAGGACATACCCTCAGCCTACTTTCAGATAATGCTAGGGTAGGGGGAATGATTGACACACTAAAAAATAGAGCTTCAGTTCTGAAGGACTTTGAGAAATTTAAGGGCTGGGCTGCCAGAAGGCTTAACAGGTTCAAGGAGAAATATGCAACCCTGCACCTAAGGTAGAATAAGCCCTTCTGTTGGTACCAGCTGTGAAGAATGGAGCTGGTGATCAGCTCTGCTGAGAAGAACCTGGGGTTATGTGAAACCCAAGGCCAATATGAGCAACAGCATGCTCATCCCAAAGAAGGCAAACCACAGAGTAGGCCTATATTAGGGGCATGGCCAGCTGACAGAGGGGGACAGTTGACCTGTCCCCCTTTGCTTGGTGGTGGTGAGGCCCTGCCAGGACAGTGTCCAGTTGGGTGCTGCTTCAGTTCAAGTGGAGTGTCTACAGAGAAGGTCTACCAAGATGATCACCGTCTAAATCACTTCCCACAGAGGCTGACGGAGCTGGGCCTATCTCGTCTGTTGAAGAATGCAAGGGGTCACATAGTAACAGCCTACAGCTACTTGAAGGGGGTTACAAATAAGGCAGCTAAACGCTTCTTGGTAATACTAGGCAATAGAACAACGCACAATGGCCAGAAATGGCTTGGGATGTCCAAGGAGGATATTATTTACTTGGAAGACAGTTAACCCAGATAAATAAAATGTTGTCCTGTTTTGTTTTGTTTTGGAGGGGAGAACTAGGGACTGGATGGTTTTGAGAGCTGTCAAGGCAACACTGTAATCAGACCTACTTTCAGTGGGGAGGCTGGACTGTGCAATGTTCAAAGGACCCTTCCAACCAACCAACATTTCTGTGATTGTATACAAATGTAAAACTGATGTCTTCCCTTGTTTATTGTGGGAAGATAGCTTTTAAAGTGTGATCAAAATGCGCCTGGGCTGTATTATTTATTTGGGAGTGTGTTTAAGCATACATGGGAGCAAAAAATAAAAATACTCTGCCATCTGTTGATATCTGGCAAACTGCAGATGTTCTTTTCTGAAAGCAGAATATTTAATTGCCACATTTAAGCCATTGCCTGCTATTTCAACTGGTAACATAAAAATAGCAAAGAAATGCAATGCATTTTGAAAAGTTACAGATTTTAAAGTAATTTAGTGTATTTATTTAACTTGCAAAAGTGAGGGGAAGGGCCTGTAGCCTTATTTCAGGAGTCTCTTACCTTAAAATTTATTGCAGCAACTGGGATAACCACACTCTTTTCTCTGAATAATTACATTAGCTTCTTTCCATTTACTATGATGCTGCTCTTTTTTTTTTTTTTTTTGGGGGGGGGGGGAAATAAAATAATAATAATAAAAAAACCCAACATGCTACATGCTTAAATGGTCATTGATGTGATCAGTTTTGACCAGAGAAGGCCTCACCAGCAGTTCTTGCTGTTGCCTGTAACAGCCCAGCTTCTACTTCTCTACATTTGTGGCAATTTTAAGATTTGAATAAAAGCTTCTGGAGTATGTGGACTTTAATCAGAAGAAAACATGCTGGTGAGCAAATATTGTGCAGCCTGTTATTACACTTCATTTTGACTCTTTCATCGCAACAGAGAGTTATGTGACCTGTGTGTATACTTATGTCACATTGTTGGAGTAATCTAGGCTCCTGTCCCCTCTCTCACCACCACCAGTAATTATCCCCTTGTAATCTTACCTACTCCTGTTCTTTCCTGCACATGAAAGGATTTATTTTTATTTATTTTATTTATTTTTTTTTTGTGGCCGTGGTAAGTCACCATGCTCCCGTTATTACAGCAGCTATGGCCGCAAGCACCCTGACTTCTCCCGTTGCTTTCCTCCTCGTAACCGCGGCCTGAGCTGTTATTATCAGTCTTCCTTGGGGTTAATCAGTTAATCACCACAGAGGAGCCGGGGAGCTGTGGGTAACAACTCCCCGCTGCACCTCACACCCACCCCGCCAGGAGGCTTCGGGGAGGCGCCGGCCAGCTGCCGGGACAGCCCCCCCGGCACAGACCTAGGAGGAAGAGGAGGAGGAGGAAGAGGAAGAGGAGGAAGAAGAGGAGGAGGAGGAAGAGGAGGACGCTCGGGAGGCGGAGCAGGCAGCCCATGGCGGCGGGGGGCAGCGGGGGGGGGCTGCTCGCCTTCCTGCGGCTGCTGGGGCAGCTCAAGGTGCCGGGCCGGGGAGGGCAGGGCTGGGCTGGGCTGGGCTGGGCGGCGGGGGAGAGGTGCCCGGGGCCGGGGGGTGCTGGGGGCTTGCCGAGGGCTTGCCGGCTGCATCCACGCGCCCCGGAGCGCCGAGCTGGCATCGGGGCGGGATTTCCCCACGTGTGGCTTCAGAGCCCGAGGTTTGCCCCTCTGAGTGACCGCGGTGCTCTCCCCCCGCAGAGGGTGCCGCGGACGGGATGGGTGTACCGGAACGTGGCAAAGCCGGAGAGCGTGTCGGATCACATGTACAGGATGGCGGTGATGGCCTTGGTGAGCGAGGACAAAAACCTTAACAAGGACAGGTGAGAGAGACCCCCTGGATCCCCTGGCCGCGGGGGAGCTGCGGGCACGGCGCTGGGAGCAGCCGCCCTGCTGAGGAGGAGCTCCCAAGGCCCGCGGGCAGTGCTTGGAGCGCTTTCCCCACATCCCTGCCCTCCATCCTTCGAGCTGTTTACCTGAAGAGGTGAGCGGGAGGAAGGCTTTTTATCACTAAAACCAGAGTGCTGAATGAGGCTCTGAGCTGGCTTTCCCTCAAGCCAGAGATAAGCAAGCTGAAGGCGGCCAGGTAAAAGGCGGCTTGAAGCAACAGGCAGCAAAGGCAAAGGCATGCTCGGTGGGTTTGGGCAGGCTGAGTTAGTACTCAGCAGCAATCGGAGCCTCATAAATCATACAGCATAGAAGAGGGAGCATCATTAGCATTGAACGAGTTGTCAGGGACAGTATGGGATCATATTGGCTCTGTCACTTCAGGAGCTGATGAAAGCAGTGAGGGCTTTCTTGAGTATTGTGCTACAGGCTGACGTAGCTGCTTAGCTGCAAGCATGTTTTGTCAGCTTATAAATTGAATTTGGGGTGGTGGCAGATCATGTTATCCCTGCAGCAGGTAGAATGTAAAGTACATAATGTAGGTAGCTCTTGTGTGCTTGATTTTCTGACATGTGAAAACTACATCCATTACTTTTGAATGCTGTGCTCTTGTGCAAACTATATTTTTACTTAAATCTATATTTATATGCAGCAGGAGACAGAAACTGGGAATTAAAATCATGTCTAAATGGAAAACGAGACCCTTAGGCCCTTAGAAAAGAAGTGAAATGTATTATGTAAAATCTTTCTCTATAAATGAAGGGGATAAATTATGGGGCCCCTTAGCTTTATGAATAATAAGACATAACTTAAAATGATGAAAAAATGATTGTTCTGTCTTTGCTTTTTGTCAGATGCATACGATTAGCGTTGGTTCACGATATGGCTGAATGCATTGTTGGAGATATTGCTCCTGCAGACAACATCTCAAAAGAGGAGAAACACAGGAGAGAAGAGGTATAGACATGAGCTGTGAAACCACATCTGCCAAGCATTTCAAATGTTTTAAATGCTCTGGTGGTAGTGAAGAGACCCTCTAAGCAACCTAATACTGCCATTGGCATTGCACAAATAGGCCACTAACAACCACAGTTTTCAGCTTGTTTAAATATTTTTTTAACGTGTAACATAACAAAGTACAAAGTTACGGAAGGAGAATGTTTGAATCATATTGATAATTTGTTTCCAAGCTAGCAGGCTTTTTGGTAGCCTGAGTTAGTCCTGCTGACAGCCTTATCAAGCAGGAAGGAGCAGGGAGTAGGTTCACTGAGAACAGCATATGGTGGTTAATGGCAGACACGTGGTGCCAGAAAATTTGATTGTGACATACACTGTTATTTTTTTGTCTTTTTGCTTTAAACAATTTGCACAGGACTCCAAACATGGGTATCATTTTCTTTTGTCTTTCATTCCTGAGTGCTGTGTGGCCAGAATTATTTTATTTTTGGCCTTGTACATATCTAAACACTTGGCTTGTCATTTCTACTTTAATGTTTTATTTGACGAAAATGTAAACCGCTCCTTCAGTCACAGCTAGAGGGCAACATGATGCCTTGGAATTTCTTGTGAGGCTACCATTAGCTCTTCAAAGTGTAAAAAATGTTGCAATGATTTTTTTTCTTTCCACTTTTCTGCATACCTTTTTAAAACTTGGGAGTGAGGGTTATGACTAATTCTAGGAGTAAGCTTTTTGCTAAGGAAGTGGAACTTAAAGATCAAAGCAGTGTTCAGTGTTCTTGAAGTATTATCTTTACTGACTGTAATTTTAGTTTTTCTTTATTTCAGTGTACTTTCCTAGTGTGCCCTTACACTGAACAAAAAAACACTTCTTTCCCTAAAGCCTTCAGGGTTCACATTTCAATAGAGGAAATTCTAATTTGTATTTAGGAAATGAAAAAAATGTCTTTATGCCTAAGAATGTTATTTTTTTTTCTTCAGTATTTGCAGCTCCTTGCAGCTCTCATTTAGCTCACTGAAGACTTTTTTGTTGTTGTTGTTGACTTAGTGGGAAGCAGCATCAAGCATTAAACGTTTAGATTAACTCTGAAGTACTTTGCTGTAAAAATACAGTAAGGGTAACAGCTTCATGAGCTTAGATAGCTTGAACTGAATTATCCATATGCTGCTGCTGCTTCTGACTTCTCTTTTTCCCTTTCACAACGAGCTCAGTGTAAGTTGTAGAGCAAGCTGGTCTGCTTGTGCATTGTTTAATCAGCTAGTCTCGCTAAGGCTAAGGCAGCAGAAAATTAAAAGAAGCAAACAAACAAAAAAAAAAACACAAACCAACAAACAAAAAAAACTACCTTTTTTTTTTTTTTTTTGGCCTTACCTGTCATTTTGCCATGCTAACCTCGAATTTTGATGAAATCTGAGCTGAAAGGAGCTCCCCAGTGTTGGGGAGCAGCTGATGCAGCTCAGTCATATCGTATAACTGCATCCTATGTTTCAAGTAGAGAAGCAATTATGACATAAAACCTTTGTCTTTCCCTGTGATGTTAGTCGTTTCAGAAGCAGCCCTAAGTGTTGCTAGGAAAACAGTAGAAATGAGGCTGATTAGCTGGGAGAATACAAAGAGCATGCAGAACAGTTTCTGCTTGCTAGTTATTCCATCAGTTCGATATTGTGTTAAATCTTCTACCAAAACTGTCATTGAACAGATGGTATTTCAGTCTGAGAGTACGGTGTTTTATTGCTGCAGAGTATTAAACGGATTTTTGTTGTCTGTTTTTCAAAATCAGAGATTTTTTTAAAGGCTTATGTTGCATTGCCTGTGTCAGTAGCTGTTCTCAGCCCTACTAGTGCAAATGTGCTAGTGGCGAGTTTGGGTGAGGATCAGTGGTTTGTCAGCACTAGGAGTTTGGATTTTGAAGCTACATCTCTGAACTGTACCTATAACCTACGTAGAAAGTACAAATGTTGCCTTGACTTGTTAAATTTGGAAGGCAGAGCTGGTGGCTGGTGGCAGTTGCCTGGCATTTGACTCGCTCTGTTTTGCTCTGGACTTCTTTTTGGATTCTTTAAGACTTTTTTTTTTTTTTTTTAGTTTTTCAGATTAGTTCTCTAGCAATTTACTTAAACAGTTTCCTATACCAAGGGGTCCTGCTGTTCCTGTAGAAGATTTCATGTACACATGCACTTCCAAGTAATACATTGTGTAGTATATGTTTCTACAAACTTGGTAATAGGTAATCCATTCTTCAGGAAAAAAAGATAAATTGAGTATATTCTCACTCAAAAATAGCTACGTACAAATGGCTTCTATTTTTCAGGCAGCTATGAAACAGCTGACCCAGCTTCTATCAGAGGACCTCAAAAAAGAAATCTATGAACTCTGGGAAGTAAGTTCGCATTCTTTTAATCCTTTGCTAAAATTGACGGTAACCCATTATGCTCTTTCTGTTGACCTATGGAACTGTCATCCCT